GTGGGGGAGGGGGGAAGTGGGGATGGGAGGGGAGGGGAAGGTGGGAATGGGGAGTGGGAGTGGGGAGGGGAAGTGGGAATCGAGGTCAGGGGATGGGGAAGGGAGTCGGGCGTCAGGGGTTGGGGGCGGGGGTCGGGCGTCAGAGGTTGGGGAGGGGGAGTTGGGGACAGGGAGGTTGGGGATGGGGTTGAGGCTGGGATGGGTTGGATGGGATGTGTACCCGTTTTGTGCGTGCTTTTGAGGGGCACATTTTGAGCGGCACACATTTTACGTCTCCACATTTTGAGGAACACACATTTTGATAGTGTACATCTGGACAGCACTACATTACAATAGTACATTTATAGTACATTACGTTTTAAGAAAACGTTGTAAGACATCACTTTGCATAGGAATTGCGTGAACTCACGTGGCCTGTGTGAACGTGAACTCACGTTCCCGAGTTAGCAACTTACCCGGAAGAAACTTTCACGGGCCCGGACGTAGGTACCTCGCTTACCCGCGGCGCGGGGTTTGAACTCGTTAATACCCACTTGGACAAGGAACATCCTCCTAAGATTTCAGCGTTCTAGCTTCTTAGATCCCCGAATTATGAACTTACTCCAAAAAAACTTTGGCGATCCCGTATGCGAGTACCACGCTTACCCGGAGGCGCATTAATACCTACTTGGACGGGAAACATCCCCCTAAGTTTCCCGGAACAAATTGTAGATAAGCGACGAAAGATTGTTCGTTCCTAATTTGGTTAACATAGAAGCTAGAGTTTGTTTGATGCTATCTACCAAATAATTAAATAATTTATTAACCTGAAAAGATCAGATTAATGCTATTTTCCAAATAAACGCTAAATAACAGCAAAGCAACTTGAACATATTGAGGTTTGGATCAGGTAGTATACAGTGAAATTAACAATTTGACCGAAATTAAGATGGTTTTCAGTCCATTAAGCTGTATACGTCTTAACTCAACCGCGCCTTGTCAGCACAGTGCTTGTGGCTTAAATTATTATCACATAATGAATACCATAAGAAGCTATTTTTAGCTAATATTTCTTGTCACAATAACATAAGGGATAATTGGCAGCATAGCAAACGAAATCGATAGGTGGAGGGTGGCAGGAATTTTATAACTGTGGCGAGTGCTTGCTTTGTACTCGAAAGCCCTTGGCTCAGCAAAATCCTTGGCCATTGGCTCGAATCGATGCCAGCACACATGGTGCGCTTGACTGGCTCAGTTCATCGTATGCAGCTCCGCATGTAGCCGATTTCGCAGCTCTCTTTTTGCAAATCCATATCACACTCAGTTGTTATCAAATTTGATTGTTTTTATGATTTCTTCTTTTTTTTTTTTGCACAA